TGTTGACAATAATCTTTGAATGACCTATTAGTAGACGGGCAAAGATAGTCTCGTTTTAGCAATATGGCCTTACTATCGGAATCTACACAAATTTCTACGACTGGTCTCAAATCACGGGTGGAGCGACGATCAATAACGCTATGCTCTGGTGGGTAGTTATTTGAGTTCAAGTGATAATATGGTGTACTGAGACCCAGGGACGAGCTTCGTGAGCGGGCAGAAGTAACACAGGTCCGCTTTCTGATGAAGACACGTGTACGCTTACTCTCTAGAATCTTGATCTACCATCAGTGGAAGTGCTGCCACATTGCGTCGAAATGTCGCTGGAAGGTAGCGGTAGCCAGTTTCCCGTTTCGAGCTCCACCCACAGACGAAACACGAGGACGCAACGCGCCGCACGACCAAACATGCTCTTAACTATTGTCAGACGCGCTGCTTGTCTGCGCCCTCTCACGTTGTATAGTTCTCTACACGTGGTAGCGCAGGTGAGCGTACGTGTCTTCGAGTGTAGGAGGATGACATACTTTTCACGTCTGCGTACCCCTACTACATCAGCGCCCACGAGCGACACTTCACCCAACGTTTAGGTGATCGTACTGCTACCATCTTTGCTGTATATCGATCTTCCAGGTACTGGAATGTGTACGGCGGTGGCCCATCATACGAGACTCCGGCCAACTTTGACGATTTCCGCTCATTCGGAGGATGGACCGCACCTTTAGTGAAACAGTTCGCTCAAGTGGAAGCCGTCTGTGGAATCACTGTGAACAGGTACGGAGGAGCTTCCCATAGAGTTCAGAAAAATTCTGCCCTGAGGTGAAACGAACTCAGAAGTTAAGCGATTGTACCAAATTCAGGGACGTGTACAGTACATCGTCTACAATGAATGCTGTTGCTGCTTCGACCAAGACAGAGAAATCTGAACAAATCACCGTCGGCGGTCTGGGACTTGGAAGTGCAGCGGCATTCAGTGGAATACCAGAAATCAAAGCATGATCTACTTGTATACAGACATAATAAATCTATAATATTTTGAAAAGTTGCTCACAATCAGTAGAGTCCAGAGCCACTCGTTCCCCCTCCCCCCTCCGTTGCTGAAGAACGATCTATCTCGAATGCTAACGGGTATTTCATAAGGCTTCCTGCCTTCAGGTCAACTGCAATCGTCATCGTGCTAAAGTCATGCAAAAGATGTTCATCTTTGCTCTCACAATATTTCCCGATGACCAGTTCTTGATAGCTTATCAGCGCTTCATATTACTGAAAATCCTCTATCAGTAGAGCGAGTAACGGCACAGAAGTCTATTCAAGTGCTGGCACCGAAGTGTGTTAGCCGAGAAGACACTTCAAGAGGTGGCGATGTTCGCTCCTCCGCATGGTGCTACTTTACCTTCTGAAACTAAAGCTTCTGAATTCCTACGGATTTTATTAATAGAAATTGACAGAACTACCCACTTGGGATATTTGTGAGGGAGGTTGAACTCGAAAATCCCTCTCTACAATCATTAGTCTTATCTCGAACACTACACAACCATACTCCTTACATTCTCATTGAAGGGGAAAACGAACGTAACGTAAGTACGAAACCTATCCGTGCCGCGATAATTC